TGATTTGGAAATCTTTAGTCTTTCACTTGGTTTATCAACATTCCTCACATTCCACCAGTTGATCATTTTATGAATCAAACACAGCTTTCACTAGAACACTGATTTTCATCTGATTCTTTGCTTCTGGGATTTCCACATATGTATTTTCAAATTTAATTTCCCCTACTCGCTTTTTTTCCCTTCTATAGGTGAAATTATAATTAATTATAATTATTATAAAATTATTATAAAATTATAATTAATTATAATTATTATATAGAATTAATTACAGATTAATTACTGTTCACTTTTGATGCTGACTTTCCAAAGACAAATTTAGTGCTAAGAACCTTCACTCGTTTCTTAATATGAAGCACTGATTGGGAAATAATTTAGATCAGGAAACTTGGAGCAGACTTCGTGTAGTTGTATTGAACTGTAGCTCTGGTTTGAAAGCCAAAAGTCTGCCCTCTTGTGGGTATGCATTGTTATTTATTCTGACTCTGTCTTGTGCAAGTGAGAATTAGAGGGTGTTAATTCATGATCCTTTTGGCTCGCTTCATTTCTGAAGTGATATTTTTTTCCTTAGGCACTACTTTACAGACTGATAGCTGGAAGAGATTCATATAAACATAATGAGAAAAGCAATTTGTTGCCAAATATGGAAGTTTAAACGATTTATGGTTTACTGTATATTTGATGATTTTGTGAGGGTAAGAAAAACTTCACTGCTCATTTAAATTAAAGATAGCTGATACATGAGTTGTGCTGATTTACTTTGAGGTGCAGTTGCAGACATCAGCTTTAATCATGGTACTGTGGTTATACCAATACTGTTCAGCTCCATAAGAAATGAAAACTGCTTTTTAGTTTGAGTGAGAATATTTAAAAGATTTGATAATTGCACGAATTGGAATGTGATGTATTTAAAATATTTTTTTTTAGTTGAATGATTTAAAAAAATAGAGAAGTAATACCATAGTCCTTCTTGCAATTTAATTTCAATCTTTTCAGGAGCATATTAGGTCAGTCATATATAAGTATTTTGTTGTTGTTATTTTGATTTTTAAATCTAGAGATTTAAAAGTTAAAGAAAAGTTAGTTTAAAAGTTAAAGCAAACTCTGTAGTATGAGGAATGAAATGTTTAAACATATTAGCATGTATGTTTAATTTCTGAATCCTGAGTTTGGTTACAAAGCTGACGGTACATACTGACTTACTGAACATGTGTGTTACTGTGTACAAGCTCATGCATGAACAAAGTTACGCAATGGAAAAAATGCTTATTTTTGTTAAGGGAGATCAGAACTATTTCAACAAAGAGGAGCATTTAATAAATGCAGAATTTCAACTTTATGTGTGGTAATCAGTAGTCAGAGTCCTGCAATTTTATTTGAAAGTCAGATGGTGCAGTGTTTGGGAAGAGGAAAAAAAATAAGAATGAAAACAGAACAAACTCAGCTCGTTTCTTTCCTCTCTCCCTCCCTCCGTCCCTTTTTTCTCCTGCTCCCACCCCTCCACCCCCCTTCAGTGCAGCACAGTCAGTACTGAAGGCAGTCAGTATTTTCTATTTATGAACTATTCTATCAACCAGGTATTAACTTTATCATCCCTTTTAAGAACAAATAAGCAATCAGCTTTAAAAAATTATCTTTCTGTTAGAAATTTTCTTTGGAATGTTTATTTTACAGTAAAGGAAGATATATATATAACTGACAAAAAATGAAGGTAAAAACCAACGTATTAAAGTAGTACTTAAAAAGGGTAGTTAAAAAACATTATTAGCAGGATAAACTTTTTCTTTTAATATCACTTTCAATGCTTGTCGTGACTGCACTTTTTGCTATGTCTTATGATGATGTCTTTTCCTATATTATTCTTAACATATGTCGTCCTTTCACTGTTTTTCCTCACTAAGGGGGTCTTTGTATCACTTCCATTGTGTTCTGCAGTTTTTTTCTCCCTGGAATAAGTTTTACATATTCTCTGTTTTCAAGAGAGAGCAAGAATAATTAAGTGTATTCTGAACATGCAAGATGTGCTTTGCGTATATGTAAATCGGGTGTGCACTTCTCTGTTTGAACTGCTACACTCTTATTCATTGTTTAGAAGCTAAATAATGCAGCAGTTCATTAATTTCCGTAACTCAGACAATATACTTTCATTTTTTTTCAATCTGGAGGTAGGAATTCTGTCGCTTCAATAGTAGCTACTCTACAAAGATGATAATGTAAAGTACTATCTAAAAATTAATACGTTTTGATTCTCCTTGACTAATAGTGAGTTGCTACAATTTATTGCTTTTTACTTCTTGTTGTTCAGGAATGGAAGAAAAAGCAACAATACAACCATGTCCATCTGTCAAACCATTAATCCTTGCATGTTCTGGTGGTTTGAAGGCAAGAGCCTGTTCTTGAGTTGTCAGTTTTTCTACCCTAACTGATTGATATTTTAAATTCCCTAAATGAGTGATTTTACTAACATTCCTCATTTCTTTTTTTTCCACAAATTGCAATTATAATTTAATGGACCCGAGTCTCCAGTTCTGGAATTGATTTTTAGTTTTTTGGTTTTTTTTTTTTTTTCCATTTCAAAAAAAAAAAAAAAAAAAAAGTAAGATTCAATTTTGCACTTAACATAACAAATGCAATATTTGGACTCAGATATTCCCATGTAGTTTCTTCACGTTATGTTTGTAGTATAAATTAGCATCATCACTTAACTCCATCAGTCAATTTTTTTGTCTTTTTTCCTACTCTGCTCTGTTTACTCACATCATCATACTTACAAAAACATAGCACTCTAAGTGTCTTCTTGAGTCACCGTGCTTAGTTGCTTGCTGATGCAGGCAACCACATCCTGTCCCTTCTCTAACATCTGCTTGATCCATCTTAAATTAAAGATGTTGATTAAGTCTATTACTTCTCCAAGGAGAAGGCTGTTTCAGAAAGTGGCTGCTTTGCTGGTGGGCAGCTCTGATAACCTACCTTGCTTGCTAGTATTCATGCCTCTGTTTATTATTATATCAACATTGTTTTTTAGCATTCTTCCTTTTCAACCTTATTTATCTGCTAGAAAGAAACCACATTCCCTCTTAACCTTTGTTTTGTTGGCTAAACAAACTAACTCCTTCAGCTCTCTTAGAATGGAAGTTTCCTCCTCCACTGACCATCCTAAGCTTGCTACTTTACCAGTTCTCATTTTAAATTGCGTAGCTATGGAGAAAGTTTCTAATTTAATGGTCTGGATGAATTCTTCCCATTCATCTAATTCAATTATTGTGGCAGTAATGCCAGGAAAGAACACTTACTGATAGTGGCTGCCTCTGATGTTTACACCTTATACAGGCAATCAGGAGGTGAAAGTGATAGCATTTTTTTTTTCTTGCTTCAGTGTTGCTCACTGGATTTCCAGCAATATTGACATGGCTAAATACTATAAGTATTAGTAGTACTTGTGGGTTTGCTGTTGCAGACTCATCATGGTACAAGTAAGGTTGTAGTTTTGTTCTTTAAAGAAAATTTTATTATGGAACTAAGAAACCACTGAAATTCTGCATATGTTGGTGTTAGTTTCAGGTGTTTGAAGTACGTATTTGAAACTATACTGGGTGAACAAAGGCTGTTTTGTTCACAAAGGCTGTTTTTCTTTCTAGTTAAAGCAAACCAGAATAACCTAAAAATTCAAACTATCCAGTATATCCATCTGCAACCATTTCTTTAGCTTGATTTCACACCTCAAATAAACTATATTGTTAATAAACAGATATAACTTGTTGGTAATAATAAGATTGTGGCAAGTGCTGCAAATGAAATAAGCCTCTTTAACCTCATTGTTGGCTTTTTTTTTGTTTGTTTGTTTTTAAATAATTCAGTTATGTGTAGGTAGAGAAACTGAAAAGTTAACTTCCATGATTCATGACAACTTCATATCGTGTTTTCATCTCTTGCTTGGAATCTCCGTGTATTTGTTAGTAAGACTGTCCTATATATTGCTGTTGGTATGACATAAAAACAGTAAGAGCATCAACAGTAAACAAAGTCTACTTATGGAGGTCTTTCTATTTAAGAAACTGTCAACACAGGTGACTGTCCATAGTAGATAGACATATATTTATATCAAGTTGCTTTTCCCTAATTTATTTTGTTTGTCTTTAAACACCACCATGCTCAATTTTTCTCATTTCATTAGTGTAATAATAGTAGATCATGGTGTGTTGTCTTTGTAAATTTTGTTATGCAACTGCAGCTGAAATGATTTTGACTTTTTTTTTAAAGCAGACTTCAGTATAGTTGGAATCTTTACATAGTGAGATCTCAGTTAACAAATACTTACAAATTTGTGCAATGCAAACTGTACCATTTTACACTAAATAACCAAACTTCTTTAGTAGGATTAAGCCTTTCTTTTTTGAAAGATATACAGTTGCTAGCAATAGTTCTGCCACAGAGATTTTCAGAATAATTTTGAGGTAGATACTTCTTTGAAAATACTCTTAAGATTTTGAATTTTTCACAGTTTTTTTTCATTTTTATGTCTGTATATTATTGATTTTACTTTTGGCAGCCACCCAGTCTATGAAAAATAGTTTCTTTTCCAAAATTGAGAAGTGAATGTAGCAGCTCATCCCTTAAGCTGGTTATGGATTATGTGCTCACCACCGTAGTAAAATGAAATGGAAATTTTGCTACCAATTTTCTTTCAAAATAAGATGTAAAATTCATTACTTCTTTTAATATTTTGTACTTCTAATAGTCAGATATTGAGTATTGGTACTGTATAAGCCGATAAAATGTTTTGCTTGCCTTATTTTGCAGTGTTTTTGCTAAAGGGCTTTGCTTTTGACACCAGATTTTTGGCTGCTTTATGCCATTTAGTGTTTACATTAACATTGTTCTACCTACTCTTGACAAATTTTATTTAGTATGTAACTGAGGTTATGGCCTGCACTTCATTTATATTGCTGAAAGTAAACCTAACGTTGTAATTTGTTGTTTTTTTTCTTTTTCGTTATTTTCAGTGCTTGGGAGATGGGAAGTAATGATAGCTGGCACCTGAACTAAGATATCTGTGTAGGCACTACCATCCCAGAACTTCAGGATGAATGGGGATATGCCTCATGTTCCCATCACTACTCTTGCAGGGATTGCTAGTCTTACCGACCGTAAGTACTCTTTGTTTTTTTTTGGTCTTTAATATATTGCTGTTTACCTTTTTGGTGAATATTTGTATTTTCAAACTATAGAAATATGAAACGCTACTTACTAAAAAAAAATAAAAAATCTGATTTAAATTAGGTTTGGCATTTAAAAGATTACTTTTGTTTTGTTGCAACTTAAATTTTTAACTTAACTTGTAAATAGAGTATTTTCAAATAAAATAACGCTAATTCTAACATTTAATAAAATGTAAGTTAAAAACAAAACAATGCAATCTGAAGTAAACCTGGCACTTAAATAATTCAGAATTAAATTAATGCGTCATAAACATATATGGGTAACATAAAAATAAAGAAGAAAGTAAGATGTTTTTAAATCATACATTCATCGAAAAAGAGATGTGAAATACGCTGTGCATGTGAATATTCCTTCAATTATGTTAGAGTTGCTCTAAAATTTAGATGCTAATGAAAATAAGCAGCTTGACCTATGAGGCCTCTTTCTTGATTGTATACCATGTAAAGGAAATGGATTATTATGATACTGTTGAAATTTGGAAAAACTTTCTAAGAGCAACTAAAGTTTACCCCAAAATTGAATTTAATTTCCTAGCTTAAAAGCAAACAAACAATGGATAACACAAACCAAAACTGATATATTTGAGAAAAAAAAATCTTGAAATATTTTTTGTGTTTTTCTGTTCTAAAATATCAAATTGAAAGATGCTACTTATATGAATCTATGTGTATGTGTATTTGTTTATGCAAGCTAAATAGTGGACCATCAGGTTGCAAATCATGAGTTTCCAAAGTATGGAAAATTTTCTAGAGTTAAGTCTTTACACACAAGATTCTAAGAAAAGTCAATATATGTAACTGGTAGAAATCACTGCTCAAACTTCTTCACACAAGGGGTTTTGAAACACTGAACTAGTTTAGATGGTATTAGACCCTGTGCTTAGGTTTTCATGTAAAGTTTAGAGACTTGGGAGAAGGTAAAAAACAATAACTTGTGACTACTCTCCCCCAACCCTTTTTTTTTCCCTCTTGTGGAAAGAAGCAGCTGGAATCACATACAGTGATTATATATGTTATATTGGAAAAATAAAATAACATAAACAACTGGCATCTCCCCCCCTTTTTTTTTTTTCTTCAGAATTTCCAAGTATAAAATAGAGGACCTGAAAGAATGTATTTGATTTACGTTGTTCTTTTTTGAAGCTATTTCTAATTGATCAGTTGAAACCTTCATCCTGGAGTTTTAATAAGTTTGAGTAGTCAGGTTCAGCTTGTTTTCTTGGACCCATTTGAGAATTTTTTGTTCTTTTTGGCTTACTCTTCTTGTACCAATCACCTGGTCGTGGCCTGTGGTTTGATCTACTTCTTTCTTTGACTTATAGATGTAAGAACGCCCCTGTAAATGTTCTATGCTTATTTGTAATCCAATTGAAACATTGATGTTTTACATGAAGTTCAATAAAATTCAATAAGTTCAATCCTTTTTCCCATGCTTGTGAATAGATATTTTCAGTGGATTACCATAGTCATACCAACCAACATCACTTGCCTTCTCTTGAGAAGATAACTTATATAGAAATTAATACAACAGAAGAATAAACTGAGAATGTAATAATGGCTCTATATTTTAAATGTATTTGTCAGGATTGTTTGTTTTCTTAATTATATGAGGTAGTAATATTTGTGTGACTGTGTTCTGTGGAATGTTTCTGAACTTCTTTCACTCCTCTGATAACAGTTTTGAACCAGCTGCCTCTTCCATCACCTTTACCTGCCACAACAACAAAGAGCCTGCTTTTCAATGGACGAATAGCTGAAGAAGTGAACTGCCTTCTGGCTTGCAGGGATGAAAATCTGGTTTCACAGCTCATCCACAGTCTCAATCAGGTGTCAACAGATCACATGTATGTATTTTGTACTTCAGTTTTATGCCATCACTGTCCTTGTTCCTTGAGATTAAAATGAACTAAGGTTGAGAAGGATGTGAGAATCTGAGCAATGGAATTGGGAAGTTTTTTATTAGGTTTGTTTAGCAGATTACTACTGTGTAAGACTCAACTGTTTCATGTAACTCTGAAATATAACTTCATTCTTTTTTGTTGGTTTTCTTTTTGATCTTCATAATGCTGATTGTGAGTTCAAATTTGATGGTTTTGACTGTTCTTGACTTATTTATGTTCCAGTTAGCTGAATAATGTAAAATATATAAATTATATACCTGACATTACCCAAAGAAGAGTTTTGGTGATGACCATGTAAGATCCATGTGAATTCTGATTTAGTTATGAAAACTTTGACATTAAAAGAATCAGCAAATGTCTGCTTTTTGTTTATGAGTATTTTGACTCTTTTTGCAATATGTCCTTTGAATTGCTTTCTGTTGACAGCATTGTTTTTTTCCTACATATTCCAAGTTATCTTGATCAAATGGAAGTAGCTATTAAAAGTCTTCAAAACAAAGAATAAAATCACAGATGTATTTACAGAAAATGTATTACGTTTTCAATAGTTCAGAGGGGATTGATATGTCATTTTCCCTTTTTAAAATAAAATATATAACCTGAATGTTATGCTTTCACGCATACCTTATTTTCACTCTTAGACTCCTTTCTTGATGTTACCCAAAGAGTTCTTCATCAGTGGAGAAGATCAAGATATGAAAGTCCTAAGGCCTAAGATACTTTCATAAGTGTTTGAAACTGGCAACCATGGATATATGTGTATTAATTTTGAAGAGCCTACAGCTAGTGTTTCTTCTGATGTTTAACAAAGAGATAAAAAAATAATAATAGTAATTAAGACAGGGAGGGACAGTGCTCTGCAGACTTGGTTTCTTCGTTCTTTATTTTAGCAATACATTTTTTTCTTTCATTTTAGCATATTTTTTTAAAATCCGACAATCATTTCTTAAAATTTGAAAATGCGTTTCATTCTTAATTTGCTTTCTTCCACAATCACAGAGAATTGAAAGATAACCTTGGCAGTGATGATCCAGAGGGTGATACACCAGTTTTGCTGCAAGCTATCCTGGCAAGGAATCCTAATGTTTTCAGGGAGAAAAGCATGCAAAACAGATATGGGGTACAAAGTGGTAAGAATTTTCTATTATTTACTGATTGTATTTGTGTTCTATATATTTAAGGGCCTAATACTAGCAACAAACACATATGGACTACATCTGTGGTATCTATGCCTTACTATGTGTTTGATAATAATAGTGAGTTATGTATCTTGACATCTTCTAAAAGAGACTGTATTAATGTAAGCAGTGAAATAACTATTGGGAATTTTGGAAAATAATGTTTTATTTCCCTGCTGAAAGCTAAGCTGTGGGATACTAGATTGGATTTGATTTTAAAATAATTTATTTGAATTTCTTTCTGGCTAAGTTTGTATATTTATCTTAGTAAATAACTGAAGTTGGAAAAATACACCTTGATTTTACTGAAGATCTGTACACTTACAGTTAGTCTTTAATACCAATGGTTCTTCAGTAGTTCAGGTTTAAAGAATAAGGGTAAGTGAACCATATGTAAAAGCTTTTCTCTGCTACTGTTCTTCTCAGCATTTTCTGTTGCCATACAGGTTTTACTGTCTTTTAAGCTGACTCTTCTGAAGTTTGTATTGGTAAATAGCAAAGACTGGAGGAGACACCAAGCAAAGGAGACAGGTTCTAGATTTAGATCTGAAGACTTTTTCTCTTGCACTTGAAGTCTGTTCCTTAAGTAGCGAACTATATATTGATTAGGAGAATTTCCATTTTTTGCAGTATGCAAATATTGCTAGCGTTTTAGATATACTGATGGAAGTGTCGTAAGAGTCTACAGAAGATGGAAAGTGTGAGGTATTTTGGAAAGGAAAAAATGTTAAATGATTAAGTTCATTCACCTAGATGAATAAAAAGCCACATAAGATTTGGAAAGGACTTGTGTAGGACAGAACACTAGAGAATGGAGAAATTTTATAGAATGAAAAATAGGCCTGATTCTAAATATTTAAAACTTCACTGGTCCTGAAATTTAAGGTCCGATAGCAATTACTGTATGCTGTGTTCAGTGGTAAATGTGGTAGAATGATTCTTCCAGCTGTGTGAATTGTTGCAATTGTCCTACCCATTTACAGACTGGTTCCACAAAGAGACTCTGCCTCAGTGTTTTGCACCAGTTTTGTAGGGTAAAATAATTTTTTTCCAGTGGAAAAGTAAGATAATAGTTTTGGAATTCTTTCTTCCACAAGAAGATTTTGAAAGAAAGAAAACAAACTCAGATGCTTTCCTTCTAAATTTTGCTAATGGTGTTGTTCAGAAGGAAGGTATTGATACAGAATTAAAAATAATGTAAAATGAAATACAAAAGAACAGGTGATGCTATTTAATAATGTTAACACAATGTTTCAAAGAACCAGAAGAGACCAGAACTGAAAAATTCTAGATCATTCCATTGTATTACATACTTTGAATTCATTTATCATTTGAAGCATTGAAGTCTAAGTGTGAAACTGGAAAACTAGAAAGAAGGAAGAAAGTGAAGCATACCTGTAAAAAAGCTATTTTGAGATGAAGATTATCTTGGGAGGAATGTTTGAAAAAGATGGACAAAGCGTTACATCAGTTTCAATGGGAAGGGGTACTCTCTTATCTTGAAATATATGGGTCTTTAAGATAAGTTCAGGAAAATTTTGGTAGTCTTACTAAGTGTTAATATATCCCATTCAGATATCCAAGGTGAAAGTGCTTGATATAGTTTTATTGGGTCAGGAAAGATTTGCTTTTCTTCTGTTTTGTGTGGAGGTTTTGTAATCTCTATTCAAAGTTTGTAGAACAGTTTGGTAGAGATTTTGTGGAATGCTTTTTTTTTCAGCTAGAAGACCTTATTTTTTTTTCGTAGAATGATAGAATCACCAAGGTTGGAAAAGACCTAAAAGCTCATCCAGTCCAACCGTTCACCTATTCCCAATAGCTCCCACTAAACCATGTCCCTCAACACAACATCCAGCCTTTCCTTGAACACCCCCAGGCTCGGTGACTCCACCAGCTCCCTGGGCAGTCCATTCCAGTGCCTGACCACCCTTTCTGAAAAGTAATACTTCCTCATGCCCAGCCTGAATCTCCCGTGCCGTAGCTTGAAACCATTCCCTCTGGTCCTATCACTAATGACACGAGAGAAGAGGCCGACCCCCAGCTCACTACAACCTCCCTTCAGGAAGTTATAGAGAGCAATGAGGTCTCCCCTGAGCCTCCTCTTCTCCAGGCTGAACATTCCCAGCTCCTTCAGCCTCTCCTCATATGGCCTGTGTTCCAGACCCCTCGCCAGCTTTGTTGCCCTCCTTTGAACACGTTCCAGGGCCTCAATATCTTTCTTGCAGTGAGGGGCCCAAAACTGGACACAGTACTCGAGGTGCGGCCTCACCAGTGCTGAATATAGGGGAACAATCACCTCTCTGCTCCTGCTTGCAATGCTGTTCCTGATGCAAGCCAGGATGCCATTGGCCTTCTTGGCCACCTGGGCACACTGTCGGCTCATGTTCATCAGAGCATCAATCAATGCCCCCAGGTCCATTTCCTCTACACAGTCCTCCAGCCATACCGCCCCAAGCCTGTAGCGTCGCCTGGGGTTGTTGTGGCCGAAGTGCAGGACCCGGCATTTGGCCTTGTTGAAACTCATCCCATTGGCTTCAGCCCAGCTCTCCAGCCTGTCCAGATCCCTCTGTAGGGCCTCGCTACCCCCAGGCAGATCCACACTTCCAGCCAATTTGGTGTCATCTGCGAATTTACTGAGGGTGCACTCGATGCCCTCATCGAGGTCATCAATAAAGATATTGAAGAGGACAGGCCCCAGCACCGACCCCTGGGGAACACCACTCACGACTGGTTGCCAGCTGGATTTGACTCCATTCACCACCACTCTCTGTGCCCAGCCCTCCAGCCAGCTCCTCACCCAGCCAAGAGTGTATCCATCCAAGCCTCTGGCTGCCAGCTTCTGCAGGAGAATGCTGTGGGAGACAGTGTCAAAGGCTTTGCTGAAGTCTAGGTAGACCACATCAACAGCCTTTCCCTCATCCACCAGATGGGTCACTAGATCATAGAAGGAGATCAGGTTGGTCAAGCAGGACCTGCCCTTCACGAACCCAGGCTGGCTAGGCCTGATCCCCCACTCATCCCGCACATGCCATGTGATCTCCCTCAAGACAATCTGCTCCATAACCTTCCCTGGCACCGAGGTCAGGCTAACAGGCCTGTAGTTCCCCGGATCCTCCTTACGACCTTTCTTGAAAATGGGAGTCATGTTGGCAAGCCTCCAGTCTTCTGGGACCTCACCAGTCAACAAGGAGCGCTGACAGATGATGGAAAGGGGCTCGGCTCTCACCTCCGCCAGTTCCCTCAGCACTCTTGGGTGGATCTCATCTGGCCCCATCGACTTGTGACAGTCCAGTTGGAGCAGTAGGTCTCTGACTGTTTCTTCCAGAATCACAGGGGGGTTAGTGTGCTCCCCAGCCGAGATTACCAGGTCAGAGAGAGGAGTGTCCTGAGGATAACTGGTCTGACTTTTAAAGACAGACGTAAAGAAGGCATTCAGAACCTCCGCCTTTTCCTTATCCTCAGTGGTCACATTCCCAGCCTCATCCAGCAAAGAGTGGATATTCTCCTTTGTCCTCCTCTTACTGTTAATGTATTTATAAAAGAGTTTCTTATTCCTTTTCACGCCAGTGGCTAGGTTAAATTCAAGCTGGGCTTTTGCCTTTCTGATTTCACCTCTACACATCCTAACGACTTCCTTGTATTCATTCTGAGTGGCCTGTCCCTCTTTCCACAGGCGGTAGATTCTCTTTTTCTCCCAGAGCCTCAAGAATAGCTCCCTATTCATCCACGCCGGTCTTCTTCCCCGCCGGCTCATTTTGCAGCTCAGGGGGACTGCCTGCTCCTGCGCCCTTAAGACTTCCTTCTTGAAGAGCAATCAGCTCTCTTGGACCCCTTTACTCGCTAAGACTGAATGCCAAGGGACTCCCCCTATTAGTCCCTTGAACAATTCAAAGTTCGCCCTCCTGAAGTCCAAGGTAGCAATTTTACTCTTCCCCCTCCAGTCTCCACCATGAATCACGAAATCTATCATTTCATGGTCACTCTGTCCAAGACAGCCTCCAACCTCCAATATTTTCTAATATTTCAAGCTCATCTATTGTAATTTTTTCACTGTCTTCTTTTTAAATACTGTCTTTCTACCTTCTGTTGAATCCAGTGTGCAGAAAAATCAGTGCTAGGTGCTGCGACCCAGCATTTGTGGTGTATGCAATTGAGAAAAAGTGAACAAAGGGGGACACCCCGACATCTGGATTACCTTCAGTCTTAGGGTGGCCTCAGCTCTTTGTTCACTTCAGTCAGATTCATCATTAGCATAGACAAAGTGAACTCAAGTTAATTTGTTCCCACCTTCTTTTCTTATGTGGGAACAGAAAAACCATGTGGCTAAAACATGGAGTAAAATTATTGGTTCAGTACAATTTTTCAAAGAAAGCAAAGGCTCCAGAAAGCTAGACAGGTTTTAAGTTTCCGTAAATACAAGCTAAAGCACAAGCAATTTTTTGCTGTTTTTCTTTTTTTCCCTCCAAAATTCATTTTCATCTGTAGTTCAACAAGTCTTGAGCTAGAAATGATATTCGTTGTGATTAACAAATATGATGTGGCAACTGAGAGAGAAGCCTGAAGACAGGAGGAAAGCAAATGTCACTTCTATCTTCAAAAAAAGCAGGAAGGATGATCCAGGAAACTATAGCCTCACCAAGGTCTATAGAAAGATGATGGGAACAGGCACCTGAAGGAGAAGAAAATTATCAGGCGTACTCAGCATGGATTCACCAAAAGGAAGACACACTTCATCAACCTGATAAAAATCTATACGGAATTGACCAGCATGGTGGATAAGGGTGGAGTACAGGATATTATCTTCCTGAACTTCAGTAAGGCTTTTGGCACACTGCCCCCATCAGATTCTCACAGAAAAGCTGATGAACTATGGGCTGGATGAACAAACAGTAAAGTGGATTGAGATCTGGGCCCATAGTGTAATCGTCAATGGTGAAAAGTCAGTTTAGAGATCTGTTAGGAGTGGAGTACCCCAATGGTTAAAAGTGGTTGTAGTCCTGACTAACATCTTCGTTAACAGTGTGGACGATGGGGTAAAGTGCACTCTCAGCATATTCACAGATGACATGAGACTCATTGGAGTGGCTGACTCATCAGAGGGCCCTGCTGCCATCTGGAGAGACCTGGACAGGCTGGAGAGGTGGGCTGACAAGTGTCATGGAATTCAACAGGGAGAAATGCAACATCCTGCAGCTGAGAAGAAACAACCGCAGGCGCCAGTGCATGCTGTGGAAATCCAAATCGAAGGCAGCTCTACAGAAAGGGACCTAGCAATCCTGGTGGACACTGAGTTGAACAGGAGTCAGCAATGTGTTCTTGCTCCTAAGGAAGGCTCGTGGTACTCTTAGCTGCAATAGGCAAAATATCTTAGTTGAGAGATCACTCACTCAGCAGAGTGATCCTTCTTCTCTGCTCAGTACAGTGAGACCACATTTGGAGTCCTCTGTTGAATCTTGGAACCCTAGTGCAAAAGAAACATGGACACACTGGAAAGTGTCCAACAGAAGGCTACTAAGATGATTAAGGGAACTACAGCATCTCTCCCATGAGAAGAGGCTTGGAGAGCTGAACTGTTCAGTCCAGAGTAGAGCAAGCCCAGGGGATCTCATCAGTGTTGAATAAAGACTTGAAAGGAACGTTCAAAGAAGACAGAACCAGGCTCCTTTCAGTGTGTCTTGTGTCAGGATAAGAGGCAGAAGGCACAAACTGGAACAGAATTTCCTTCTAAGTATCACAAAGCACTGTGTGAGTGACTGAACTCTAGCCCAGAGAGGTTGAGGGAGCTTCCCTGGGGATCTTCAAGGCTGCCTGGACCTGGTCCTAGGTATGGCACCCTTCTCTGGGTGTCCCTGCTTGAGCAGGGCTTGGGACTTGGGCTAGAAAGTCCCTTTCCACCTCAACCATTCTGTTATTTTAAGAATACAAGAATGAGATAGTATGTAGTATGTGGATACCTTTTTTTTTTTTTTTTCCTTATCCTCTTTTCCCTCTCAGTTCTTTGTGCATTTTGGCAGATATTTGGAAGCTGAATTAGTGTTTTGCTAAAGGCTGGTATCCTTAGCACAGCTTAAGCTTCTAAAGGTCTTAAAATTCATAATATAACTTGTTCATTTTTGAGGGCTTAAAATATTTATGTCTTTCAAAAAGTTTGTGTTGATTAGATTTTTTTTCCGTTTATACAATAAAGCAAGCAGAGGTGCATGTAGGAAAACATTGCAGAGGAATGTTATCAACTGAGTGTCCGTCTTACTGAAAAATCACCAATAGGTCAGCATTCACAGATTAAACATGCATGATGCTATAAAACAGTTTAGTCATAGTTAACAAGCATTTTATGTGAGCCACTTCTTTGTGTAGTATATTCTTTGACAGTTACTTGAAGTGCAAAAATTGAAATTATTTTTATTACTTTTCTCTAAGCAAAAAAAGTAGTCAAAATCAGAAGCGTATGTTAAAGAAACTTCTTATAAGAATGTTATTATTGGGATGATAGTTTCTCAGTACTACATGCTACCAAATCCACAGAATCATAGAGTTTGGAAGAGACCTCAGGAGATCATCTCATCCACCCTCTGCTAAAGCAGGTTCCCTAGAGCAGGTTGCACATGAAAGCATCCAAGCAGGTTTTTTTAATATCTCCAGAGAAGACTCCACAACCTCTCTGGTCAGCCTTTTCCAGTGGTCTGTCACTCTTAAAATAAAGATTTTTCTCGTGTTCAGATGGAAAACTTCATGTGTTCCAGGTTGTATCCCTTGTCCTGTCATTGGACATCACCAAAAAGAACCTGGCCCCATGCACTTAACATCCACCCCTTAGTTATTTATAAGCATTGATAAAATCCCTTCTCAGTTTTTTCCAGACTTAAATGTCAAAATTAAAGTTGCACTTAAAAAATTCTTAGATGTTTAAGATCTGGAAATACATAATGGAGCCATAAATCTGCTGTGATACGACAACATTGTCAAAATGTTTTAGAGTTGATGACCTCAAACTACGTTCAGTTCCTTTGCAGTCTAAATGCAGTCTTATTTTTATCCCTTCCTTGTTTTTCTTGTTACTTCATTATCATGAAGACTTGAAAACTTTTGAGATACAGTTTTACTCTGCAGGATATAGATTGCATCCCTCCAACAAGCTGCCACTCTCTTCTTTCTGTGCCATCTTTTTCTCTTCTTGCCCTTCTCAATATAAATAGAGCTGTGAGAGCTGTCTGCCACAAAACAAGCTAAAGATTTTTGAATTATATTCTTTAAAAAATCATTGAAAAAATAATTTATTCTGTTAAACTAAAACCTACCACATCTGTGGATCAATTTTAGTTTAGTTTAGTTTAAATTTGAGGATAGAAGTATTTTTGAAATGCTATCTCTGCTTTAAACATAAAATGAAATCTTTTCTGTATAGTTCATATAAAATTGCATGACATTTGTATAGTTTTAATATGGGTGTGTTCTGTCATCTTTCTGTATGTTAGTAACTAATCATACAATCAATTTACTGTTCTCAGAATAAGGCAAATTAATTCTTACTTACCTGCTAATATTCTTATAAAAGAAGTTTAAAATTCTAGGTTTGGTCCTGCATGTTTCAACTTAATTGGTGACAAGACTTGATTTTTTTATGTATCTTTCTGGATTTCTCTGTCACAGAATCACAGAATGGTTCAGTTTGGGAGGGACCTTTAAAGACATCTGATTCTCATGACCCAGCTATGGTTATGCTTGTCCTGACTTAGTGATTGGGTTGCGCAGTGCTCAACCTGGCCTTGAGTACCTCCGGGGATGGGGCATCCACTGCTTCTCTGGGTAGCCTGGTCCAGTACCTCACCACCCTCACAGTTCAAATAGTTTGGCCAAAAAAAAAAAAAAAAAAAAAAGAGAGAGAGAAAAATTATAACTACCTGATGACTAATATGTCTTTGTTAGTGTCTTCAATACATGAACTGGGCACTGAGGGATCTTCCTGAAATAGAAAATCACTGTACAGGAAATGCCCAGGGAATATTTCGCACATTCCTTTCTGTGGTTTGTACCTGTGGACAGGAGTTTATTTCTCATCTCCTCTGTAAGAGACAGCCAGTGTTCATTGAAGCAAGCTTTGCAGGAGTTAAGGCATTCTCTGCTGTTACTCAGGATAATGAAATAACATTTCTACTGAAGTATGAAGATATCTGATTTTTTTCAGCACAACTAGGGATTTTCACTCCTAATCTAGGCTAGTTTAAATGTGTTAATTTGGTTGGAATGCAGCACTTCACACCTACTGGGGAGGTGATAATGGCTGCATTCTTGAGGGATTATCACATCTCATCTCTGTTGGTAAAAAAAAGAAAGGAAAAAGGTTGAGAGGGAAGATTTCTGAAAAAAGCTTTTGTTCTGTAAATATTGCAGTCATTGAAATCAGTGATAGTAGGCTGGATGGCCAATCTAAACCAGGCTCTGAGCAACCAGATCTAGCTTCGGATGTCCCTTCATTGCCAGGGATTTGGAGTAGATGACCTTTAAGGGTCCTTTCCAACTCTAAGGCTTCTAAGATTCTCTGATTCTATGACAGTACTTGGAGGATTGATAAGATAGAATCTATGAAATATTAAGTATAAAATATTGCAACGCTGACATGTTTTCACCCGTTTCTGTGAGTCACTTGTTATGGCTTCCTAAACCTTAGTTTGTACATGGATTCTGATTCTGTTTAAATATGAGATATTTTATTCTGTCATTAAAATCACGTGATTAAAGATCATAAAAGTTTTAATGTGCTTTCACTGTTTTAACTTCCAGTGTCATGTGGTTGTTAGCAAATTCTTTATAAAGGTACTGTAAAAAGGAAAAAAGATTGATTTAAAATCTCACTGGTAAAGATGCTTGTTAGTTTCAAGCACTGTGGTACTTGTGACCTGATAGATAGTTCAGCTTCTGAATGTCCAAAACATGGGTCTGAACTGTACAAACTGTGGGAATCTGCAATTCGGGAAATTGGCTCTGCTTTGCAGTCCAAAATATTTCAGCACACTGATACATTTTATAAGTGTACTACAGACAGAACAGAAAGATGTTATAGTAAGTATTAAAAGGGAAACTGTTAGGTATTACCAATTAGTCTCACACCTTTCTGTATGAGGTGATTGTTACCTCTACTTGCTAAAAAAATAGGATATAAATTTAATGAGTCTTCTGGTTTGTGAAGTTCCTGAATCTTTTAGTCATTAGCACACTAAATACTGTACACACTGGAGTGTGAGTGTATGTTTGTTTTGAAGTGTTTCTATCTACTAGCAGATTTTGGATTGCAAAGTTTGAAGAACGTAAAAGGAAATAAGTCCTGTTGAGATTTGTAACTGAATTAACATTCCTTTAGGAATGCTTTTCTATTCTGCGATGTAAAATAGATTCTTACACAGAATGAATGTTATTCAGTGTTTTCTAACAGTTGCAGACATGTAACATTTTCTGCCTATGAAGTTATAGATCTCTTGGTATATAGTCTTTCTGAAATGAAATGCGTATGTTTAATACTGCTGTCTTCTTTTCAATAGGGATGATGATTCCACAGTTTAGTATTTCTCAGAATTCTATGCGTGGTAGTCCAGCATCTTCCAATTATCAACAAACCACTATTTCACATAGCCCTTCCAGGTAATGCTATATTTTAAATGAGGGAGGGAGGGGGCAGCAAACTTAAAATGCTTCCTACAGTTACATTCAGTTCCAGTTGTAAGTAAATGAGTAGAAGTTAGAAGATCAATGTCAAGATTAACCCTGAATTTGTTTGACAGCAGGATGAGTTTCTGCTGCTGAAAAAGTCAAATTTAGCATTTACTCACTTTATGCATGTGCATTAATCCTGTGTTGTAAGGACAAGTCAGAATTCTCCACTCTCTGTTCTCTTGCATAGATAGTTTTGGCAGATTTTCTTTCTTAAGGAATCCTCCTACCTTCTCCTACCCTTCCAGTTGTTTTCTTTCTGTATCAGAATATAAAGGAGAAGAGAATGAGTGTTCCAGCATGGGTAGCAGTACTAGTATGGTGGAAGAGTGGAAAAAAAGGTCTTATTAAAGCATAGAATACTACTCTAACTGTTACACAAAGGGCCACTCATAGGAAGATAGGTCCACTTGTTTGGCCATTGGCTTCCTCTTCAACTTTTTTGTACTTTTTCAGACTCCTTCAGGCAAGATGTGCCTTTAGGCTTTTAGGCTAGGTCTTTCTGAAAATAAGAAAGTACCGTAGAATAGAGGAGGAAGTTCCGCATGCAGTTTCACTAGCTGGGGCTGCTGGGTTGAAACTGAATCAGCAGATATTAAACATCATTATTAAAATTAACTGTTATTTCACACTTCATTTCAAATTAGTGTAGTATTTATTCTGACAAACAGAATGCTTTCTATCTCTACAAAACCCACTACACTGTCAAGAGTAGTGGTTTTATTTGATTTTATTTATTGGTTTTATATTGAAAAGTGGTAATGAAGAAGGTTTTATGAATTGAGAATGTTACAGTGTGCTGTGTCTTCTCAGATCCTTGCAAAATTGTTGTTTTAAATATTTTGCTGTGACTTTCTGTGGAAGCTTATCTCCATAGAGCTACTGTCTAAAACAGAGCTGTGAATGGTTTTTGTGGTTTTTGTTTTATTTTTATTTTAAAAAGCAACACAAAACTGATGAAAGAATGTAAGCTATAGTATACATTATCATCACAAGCCTGTTTGATTTTTATAACATTCTATCTCTAGGATCTGTCCAGGATAAATCCAATGAAAGAATAAATTATATTCAGTAACCTTTACATCAGGTCCTGCCTAACTGCCTGTATTCCTATATTTTAGCAGTATAGTTGTGTTAGGTAAAGTTATTTGAAATCTTATTGGAAAAGTCATATTTAAATAAGATTACTACTTTGTCAGTTCTAGTGAGCTTGTGGTTATTTGATAGTAAGACCTTAGCTGTCGTTTTCATTAAAGATTCCAATAAACTTCTAATAAGGTACAACTATTGAAAATTGCCTTATTATGGTAAATATCTATAACTTCTGTTATTGTTTGCTTTCACTAGATGGAATGCTTTCTATCTTTTTACTAATACAGTACCCACTTTCTGACTCCTAAGTAGTAATTGAAATTGAGACGGCATTGATGGATTTAAATGCTGCTTTTGAAGAGGTTTCTTCATTGCATTAGAATAATGTCTTTTCCAGAAGTTAAAATGTTCCAGATATATACTATTTCAAAAGGAATAACAACATTGTCTAAATTTGTTTTTACAACTTCTCAAATCCTTTAAAATTTTATTTTTAGCCGGTTTGTGCCACCACAGACAAGCTCTGGTAACAGATTTTTGGCACAACAGAACAGTCCAGTGCCTAGTCCATATGCTCCTCAAAGCCCTGCAGGATACATGCCATATTCACATCCTCCAAGTTACACACCGCATCCTCAGCTGCAGCAAGGTAAGTCTGTGATGTTTACTTTCATGTGCACGTTTCATGGCTCTTGAGTCACAAGCTTAATGTGAGTCTTTGTATTGGTAGAATTTTTTTGTTGTTATATTTATCTTTGTTTACCTAACTGCAGAACATCACAGAATAATAGAATATTCCAAGTTGTAAGGTTTCCACAAGAATCAAACTCCACACAGGACCACACAAAAATCAAACCCTATCTCTAAGAGTACTGCCTAAACACTGTTTGAACTCTGGCAAATTTGAGCCATGACCAGGGAGCCTGTTCCAGGGGCTGATCACCATATGGTGAAGAACCTTTTCCTAACACACAGCCTAACCCTTCTCTGACACAGCTCCATGCCATTCGTTGGGTCCTGTAGCTGTCACCAGAGAGAAGCGATCAGCACCTGGTTACCTACTTTTTCTCTTTAGGAAGTTGTTGGCTGCCATGAGGCCTCCCTTCAACCTCCTCTGAAAGTATTAAAAAAAAAAAAAAAAAAAAAAAAAAAAAAGGAAAAAAATGTAAAATGCCTCTTCACGTGACATTTCTTCCCCGTTTACACCTATTTTGCATAGTTATCACACATATATAACAACTAAAAAGCAAACCCTAAGGCTTTTATTTGATGGCCATCATTTATCTGTACCAGACAAAAAAAATTCATTTTTTTCCTGCGTAACTAAGTTTTGCTATGAGGTTACCTCACTTTAATAAACCTTTGTAGTGTAAACGAGACTAATACTAAGTTGACCCAGAATAGGTGTGGAAAGAGCTTGTCTAATGTACATGGAACTTAGATTGTAAATCTTGAAAATTCAAATCTTACACACCTGATTTTATTCAGGGTACTTGTGGCTAAAGGATACAATAAAAAACAAAACAAAATACAAAAAAAAAAACAAAAAAAACCAAAAAAAAACCCTATTCTTGTTCAGATTCCAGACCTCTTGTATACAGCTCAGCGATTTCCTCTTTTATGGTAATGTTCATGAAACTTTAAGAGCTTAAGAGCTAAGGAGTGTATATACATATATATATATATCAGTACAATTATTTACTTTTTTGTTTTGTTTTGTTTTTGCATTTCAGCTTGTCCTATTGTCACAGCAGGGATGAGGAATCTCCATGAAAATAAAGTTTCAAGTCAGTTGTCGGGAAATTCAGCTAATCATCATGCTGATAATTCTAGACATGGATCAAATGAAGACTACCTACAGATGGTGCACAGATTAAGTAGTGATGTATGTTACCTAAATCAATTTATCATAAAACATATTTAGTTGCCTTGTAAGACAGATGTTTTACTATATTGTTGTTGATTTATAAAACCACTTGAAAACATCTAAGTTTCAGACATATTCACTCAACTGTGCAACTCTAACATGTGAGGTTTCAGTTCTTGTAGAAGATATCTCTTTCCTTTTCAACAGTTTGTAGCACTCTGTTGAATTTATGATAAGCAAAAAATTTTACTTATTCACAAGTTTATGTTAATAAAATGGTAAAGTGTCACTGCAGTAATTACATCAGTATATTGATCCTAACAATACTAGATTCTAAGTAGGTGTAGGATTAACTTGTCTCTCTAAATACTCGTACTTCTCAATTAGAATTGACATATTTGAGCAACGTATCCAGTAGCATGATAGTATTGCCAAAGGCAAGAGGTCACATAGACTGTTTTTCTTACTGATTTACATGTGTATTACGGTTTGGTTTCTTTTCAAGAAATTTTATCCTCGTGGCTTTAGTTTTTGTGGTAGTAATTCTTTCTGACATCTTGAACTCTAGTATCTGAACGAAGTTCCCCCCAGTTTTTGTCTGTGGTGATTTTTTTCTAAATTATTGATTATTTTTCATCTTAATCATGCAGATGTAGTTTGATGGAGGTTCCTTAAAAGCTCAACACAGTCTCTTAACAGCTCTTGAGAGAGAGTACCTAAGTTTCCAATAGTATTTTTTTAATAGATCTTTGAACTGTGAGGTCAGTACTGTAAGTATCGATGCCTGCAATGTAACAGTGTAACAGTAGTTACAAAATTTCATCAGAAGCTAGTTGCTGGTCTGTTTTGCCTTCTCAGGTGTTCTTTCACAACAGCTGTGAGTCTCTGGAATTGGAAGGACAGGGACATAATGACATGGTGGAGGACCCATAAAGATATATGGTTGAGGACCCATCTGTGGTATAGGAGAAACAAGGGTTAGGTCAACTGATTCCCAGCATCATGACCATCTCCATAAAGAAAAAAGTGTGGTTTATTGCATGCATGACTTTCTTCAGATGGGAGCAGGGGTCCTGATCTGCCAACTAGTCATTTAGCAAATTTTGCTGACTCCCTGGGTATTGGATTAAGGATGTTTCCAGGTTACTTCAAAGAATCATAGAATTGTTAATGTTGGAAAAGATCTCTAAGGCCATAAATTCCAGCTGTCAGTCCATCACCATCGTGCCCACTAAACTATGTCCCTCAGTGCCACATCTCCATGTTTCTTGAACACCTCCAGGGACAGTGACTCCACCATTTCCTTAGGCAGCCTGGTCCAATGCTTGATCACTCTTTTCAGAGAAGGAATTTTTACTAATATCCAACCTGTACCTCCCTTGGCACAATGTGAGGCCATTACTTCTTATTCTATTGCTAGTTATCTGTGAGAAGAGATGTATTCCCACCTCACTACATCTATATTTCAGATAGTTGTAGAGAATGATAAGATCTCCCCTGAGCCTCCTCTTCTCCAGGCTAAACAATCTCAGTTCCCTCAGATACTCCTCACACCCTTCACCAGTTCCGTCACCCTTCCTTCGACACGTTCCAGCTCCTTGGTGTTTTTCTCTTGTAGTAAAGGGCCCAGAATAGATCGCACTCAAGGAATGGCCTCACTGGTGCTGAGTACAGGAGCACAGTCATCTCCTTAGATGGCCACACTATTTCTGATACAAGCCAGGAGATCCACGTGGGCACACTGCTGGCTCATGTTTAGCTGGCTGTTGACTAACACCTCCAGATCCATTTCTGCAATGCAGTTTTCAGACCATTCTGCCCAAAACCTGTAGTATTGCTTGCAGTTGTTGTGACAGCTCATCTTGCAGCACAAGGTGATGCCCTGTTCTTATGCCATTAAGATGTCCTTCTTGAGAAAGCGTCCAGCCTTCCTGGACACCTTTGCTCTTCAGAACTATCTCCCAAGGGACTTCTTCAACCAATGTCCTAAACAGTCCAAGGTCTGTCCTCCAGAAGTCCATGGTTTTACTGGCCTTCCTCCTGACTTCACCAAGAATTGAAAACCTATCGCTTTGTGGTCATTATGCCCAAAAGGGCTTCTGACCACATCTCCCATCATGCCTTCTCTGTTCATAAACAGCAGGTCTAGTGAGGCAGCTCCCCTGATATACTCTCTTACAGCTGTGTCAGGAAGTCATCTTCCACACACTCCACAAGCATCCTAGACTGTTTCCTCTCTGATGGATTGTACTTATATTTCCAGCAAATGTCTGATAAGTTGAAGTTCCTCACAAGAGCAAGGGCAAGTGACTGTGTGGTTTTTGCCAGCTACCTATAAAATACTACTTCTGTCACTTTTTCCTGGCTGGATGATCTGTAACAGATGCCTGTCACTTTATTTGCCTTGTTGGCCTTCCTCTGATCCTTACTCATAAGGACCCAACCTTAGCATTATCAACATTGAGCTCTTGGATCAAAAAACTCCCCTGCATACAGGCTTGTGTGTCACCTTAGGTTATCATCTACAATTGCTTTTTCGAGAAGTCCAAGGACAATCAAAAGAGACTTCATGGCACTGAGGAAATTGGTGAAGGAATCAGAAATGCAAATACTATTCTTTGTCTTTCCTGCTGTAGGGAATGATACTGAAGAAACAGGCATGAAAAGGTGTGGTGGACAGATAATGCTGCGTGTAAAGAAAGTGCTGGATTGTACAGTGCTTGCTGCCAGGGTTGAAAATCTAAGGATTTAGGATAAAAACTAATAAAGCAGGTATTGTTAATGTGAGTCTACGGTAGATCACTTAGCCATGATGAGGGCTGAAGGCTGGCTTGGCTGAACAGTTTTCTCCTTCAGGAACAAAGGTGGGAAAAAGAAATAGTATGGACTTTGGAAACTCTTCGTCACTATAGGGAGAAAATTGATTCAGCCAAAGCTCAGTTAGAGTTGAAGTTGGCCAGTGCTGTAATGGATAACTAAGATGGTTTTCTAAAGTATGTTAACATCAAAAGGAAATCTAAAAAAGGCATTGGTCCATTACTTGACAATTGGTCACCTTACAAATTGGGATGAAGAGTGAGACTTTTTTTTTTTTTTTGCATCTGTTTTTAATGCTACTGGTGGGTCCTGGAACTCTTGGGGTCCTGTGTTTGTGAGAGTGATAAGCTTGCAGTTGACACTGAGCATGTATGGGATTTGCTGCTGCAGCTAAATGCAAATAAGTCTACAGGACTCAGTGGAATTCATCTCAAGATACTGAAGGAAATAGATGAAATTATTACCAAACCTCTCTCAGTTACTTATCAATGGTCTTTGGAATTTGGAGAGTTCACAGCTGTTTGGAAGCTTGCTGATGTTATTCCAATTTTCAAAAAGGGTAAGAAAGAATATCCTGGTAGTGACGGTACTGTTACTCTAACTTTGGTGCTTAGTAAACCTATGGACATTATTCTGGGACTTGTTGAAGAACATATGAAAGAGTTGGCAGTAATTCTAAAGCAACATGGGTTCATGAAGAGAAAGTCACGACTTAGTTACTTAATATTCCCGTATGACAAGGTTATTCACCCAGTTAACAAAGGAAAAGCAGTGGATGCAAATGAATTTTTTTGGATTTTAGCAAGGTTTTTGGTAGTGTCTCTCATAATATCTTCAACAAAATATCCAACATAGCCAGATACTGTACATATGTATACAATATTATGAGTGAACAACTGAGAGAAGAGTTGCGCTCAAGGAGTTGTAGTAAATGGAGTAACATCAAACTGGTGGCAAGCCACTTGTCATGTTCCCCATGACTCAATTTTAGGCCAATCCTCTTCAAAATTTTAATCTGTGACCTGGACACAGGACACAGGAGATGAGTGCACGCTAAGTTTGCAGACAGTTCTACGTTGGGAGGAGGAAGAATGATATATTCCCTTGAGAGTAGATAGGCCTTGCAGTGATATATTCATAGATCTGAGCATGGGGCAATCACTAATTTTTTTTTGTTTGTGATAAGCTCAATGTGAGTGAACAATCTACCTCACTGGCCATAAGAGCCAGCCATTTTTTAGGGGTACATTAAGCTCAGTATAACTAGCCAGCTGAAAGAAGTGGTTGCTCCATTAGACTCAGCATCAGAATGGCCTTATCCTGAATAATGAATGCTGTTTTATTGCAGAGAGTCTGCAATATAAAGATGGTATAAAATCATTAGAATGTGTCCAAACAAGAGCAGTGGAGATGCTATAAGGACTAGGAGGCGTAACGTATGAGCAACAGCTGAGAAATTTTGTTTTGTGCATCTCACAGGAAATTGAGAGATGGCTGCTGTCTATTTCCTCTCGAAGGTGAGCAGAGAAGGAGGTGCTGATCCTTTTTCTCTGGGAACCAGTGATAGGATGTGATGCCTTAGAGCTGTGTCAGATAAAGTTCAGATTATATATTAAGTTGTTCACTGGCAGGGGGTTCAGATACTGTACCCCAGGGTCATGACTACAGGTTTGTTAGTGTTCAAGAAGCATTTGGACAGTGCTATTGGGTTGCCTTCTTTCAAGTCAGGAGTTGGCAATCATCATGGATTCCAGCTCAATATGTTCTATGGCTCTTGTAAACAGTGTAAACTTGCACTTTTATTTAAATTATAATTACTGTCAGGTGAAAAGCTCTTTCTTTTGATCTGATAGCATGAACTATTCCTCTGTGTGACATAATGTGTATTGTAGCTCATCTGCTAGTATGTATTGGAGAACTGTCTGTTTAGCCATTAGCCATTACTAAAGGGAGTGTGCAGTTGCCCATCTATGTAGGCTTCTATCTCCTTCAAATGCCAGTTTAGCTTTCTGACTTACTGATGTTTTTCTTTTTATTTATCTTTTTTTTTTTTTTTTTTTTTTTTTTTTTTTTTTTTTTTTTTTTTTTTGTAGAAGCATGTAGAAACTTACAGTTGAACCGACTAATGTTCTATTTATTGAGTTGAAATTGGCTACAATGATAAGGGACAGAAAATTCAGATAAAAAAAAAAAAAAGGAAAGAGATAAAAAGGAGTTCTATGAAAGGACTCTTTCATATAAGGAGTTATGTGAATGAAATCTTTAAAAAAAGATTTAATTTAAAAGAATTGACTTTTTGCAATTTATTTATACTACAGAAATTATTTTCTCATAGTTAAAAAGGTTGCTGATTTGTTTGTGTTCCTCTCCCTTCCCCCTCAGCAATCCTATCATTGTTTAAAAAACAATGCTTATGATAGGAAATACTGTTCTATCAAAGTTTAAATCTATTTCATTGACTGGATATATATATTCTTGGCCAGCAGAGGGCTCCATGACAGCGATTTAAGGAAAATATTATTGCTTAAATGTAAAACAGTGGTTGTATTCTAGATATGCTTTAGGGGTAAGCTAAGTGGAAAAACTGTTTAATGTGTTTTAAAATTCTAATTTTTATGCTCAATTCTCGTTGTTATTATAGAGTTCATACTTTGCTTATTCTGCTATAACTGGTTGTAACAAGAAAGTTTTGCATATGAATGTATTTTTCTGAGCATATTCTGGTGATTGTTTCTTCTAAGAGCTCTTGTGCTCTGGAACATTACTTTATGACAGCCTAAATTGTAAAAATTTTTATATAAATAAATGTTTTTATAATATTTATTGTCTGTTTTTTCAGGTAGTTGATTTTATCAATGTATGTACTAATTTTACTTTATTTTATGAAATATTCATGCTTATAATGGTATTTTTTATCATTGTCACTTTAGGATGGCGATCCTTCAATAAGAAATGCTGCATCTTTTTCCTTGAGGTCACCACAGTCAGTCTGTTCTCCAGCTGGAAGTGATGGAACCCCTAAAGGTAGTCTAGCAGTCATATGTGTCAATGTATTTTTCTTAATTTAAAGGAACAGAGAGTTTAAAGAGGTATTTAGTTAGTCCTTCTGAATTCTGTTTTCCAGTAGAATTAAGGAGTATGTAATTAGATTTCAGTAACAAAATTATTTTGAGCCCTCATCCAGGAGAAATTTCTGGAGGTCCAAAAATTGACAAATGGTACTTCAAAACATATCTTAAATTAATGGAGGACAGAAGGATTCAAAATCCTTTCTAAAGTGAGGATTTGAATTGTTTATAAGAATGGATTCAGTTGCTCTGCATAACAAGTAGTTTCAAGGCAGCATTACGAGTATTGAACTCTTGACCACCTTGAAAGTGTTTTAACATGCAACTTTTTTCGTAATTGCAATCATCAAATTGAAAGATCATGAAATTGAAAGTAGTTCAATGAACACAATACACGTAGCATAAATGAAGCCTAAACACCTTAGCTATGGAGAAGGAATAGGGCAAAATGTCAGTTGAAATGGAACAGAAAAAATCTGCTCAAAATAATTCTTTATGCTAAAATCTAGAAAGCATACCACTATTGATAATGTTATTGTTAAAAAGCAGTTATGGAGATGCATGAGACTTAGTGAAGCAGGGGTTTGAATGTATTTTTGATAGCAGAGGTTTTTAGTGCTTATGTGTTATACAGAAATAGTAGAAAGATACAAGAGTTCTTCCTTCCCTTTTAACCCTGGAACACAGTTGATTATTTCTGGATACTCAGATTAGGTTGATAAGGAGAAGGGAGTGACTGCAGAGAAGGTGAGGTTGTTAGGCTTTTTCAGCTTGGATAAATCAAGTTCTCAGAGTCAGGGAGAGCAGCCTTCCCAAACCTATGAAGAGGCTCTTCAGAGCGGTTTGGAAAAAGGATGAGCTAAAACGAACATAAATTGAAATGGAAGGTTTTGTCTGAATATAGGGAAAACCTTTTTAATTATCAGGATAGTCAATCAAGGCTGTCCAGAGAGTCTGTGCATTCTCCATTCCAGGAGGTTTTCAAGGATAAAATCACGCATAATGATTTGACTTAGCTCACCCCAGTTTGAGCCTACAGACTATAGACCTTCTGAGGTCTTAATTGAATTATTCTTTGATTCTGTGACTGCTAAATGATCGCTGTGGTTCATCTAATATATATGTATATTGGCAGTGATGTAAAAAAAAATGTGACTCAAATGCAAGATAAAAGAATTTTGTATAGCGTGCCAGTGGCATCATTATTTTAGGAGATCTTGTGCTAAAGGACTTGTCAGACATATATAAATGCCAAAGATTAAACATGCTTGTTTTTCTTAAACTAATTACACAAAATCCATGTTTGTAGAACATTCACAACACTGTGAAACTAAGCTTCTTCCATTTAGATATGTGATAACTACTCAGCCAGAAGAATATTGAAATTATTTTTTGTTAAATTGCAGCTGTTTAAATTGGCTGTCTCAGAACCCATTTTGAAGAGATCTCTTTTTTTTTCTTCTTGAAAAGAGTCTGATTCTGCTGTTCATGTTGTAATGTTTCAGCATTATGGGTACTGAAAAAGTTCAAGAGGTATTTTTTTATTTACTTACCTGTAAGATTTATTTTTCTTGATGATAAAGCGCATAACTGAAATACTTTACTAGTGGTGGTACCACTGTTCTTTCCTTGAGATTAAAGAATCCTGATTAAGAGAATGAGTTCTTGATGCTCCAAGAACCTTGCATTTACTTCTGCCAATCTAATTTTATAAATGTCCTGAAGACATCTAGATAATAACAGTACTGTTTAGAGTATGTAATTCCAGTGAGTTTTTGTCTTGATTTGAAGTGAAGGTTGTTGATTGTGCTTATAAATTTGTGAAATTTTCATTGCTGCTGTCAGTAGCCTTTGAAAGTTTGGTTGACATGTTGCAAACCGTGATAAAGAAAATCAGCAAAATATGTAATTGTGTGGGAGGACAGAAAGAATGGCACTAGATGTGAGCCAAGAAATAGATCTCAGGGAAGGGTATTACAATATCTGTACTTTCTTATGTAGTATAGAAATGTGAGGGAATTATTGAAGATAAAAGGCTTCAAGACATTTCTGTATTTTTGATATGGAAATAGCAAAGGCGTATGGTGATTTGGAGACTGTGGTTGCAAAGTCTTGGATCATTTCAAAACTGAATGATAGCTGTCTAATTGACAGAAACTGAATGAGGAATAAGTTTGGTTTGTAACTCAAGAAAATATTTGAGAGGGGACAAGTTGTGTTTGTTCTTTGGGTTGGTTGTTCACTTATGAAATGGAGTACAGTTTCCCTGATGCAGAAATTTCTGCTTCATTTCTTTTGCTTCAGTAAAGATACCAGAGCAGCTGGAGTTTTATGCAGAAGGTTTTAGGTTGGACTTTATCCTTCTTTGTTAGTATAAATTTTAGTCTTCTCAGTACAAAAACAGAGTTTTGGCTCTACTTTCTGCTGTTGTCTACTGCCTTATCAACTATCATTGAAAATTCATTCCTATGATTCTTCTGTGAAGAAGAAATTTCCTTCTGTTTTTCCTTTTTTTTTTTTTTTATTTTTTCCTTCTTCTCATAATATATTTTGTGGAATGCATTATCCAAAATGGATTTCTTATCAAAGTCCTTTGTCTGTTTGTTCTACTTTCCTACCACTCTTGAACTTCAGAGAAAAAAAAATATATATATATTTTATATATATATATACAGATACATATTTAAAGACAACTTTTAAAGATTTATATAAAGGAAAGTCTTCCTTGAGGTTTAAACCACTGCTTTCCAAAGAGAAGAGTTCCTATTTTTAGAGTCCTGTTTCCATATAATTTCGGGAAATCCCAGGGAAACATTTGTAGGAAATAATAGCAACCCATACTGAACTAAACCTTGGCACCTTGTTTTTCCCCCCAGAAATAACTTGCATTTCCTCCAGAAATTGTTAATATTTGTCATAGAGGAAATAATTCAACATAACCTTTCAACATTTTATAAGACAGTGAGAATTACAGTCATACCCAAAAATATTTTTAGAAGCTGCTGTCTAACAAAGTAGCGTGGGTACTTGATTATTTTCTGAATAATTTGGCATGATCACTTTTATTTTCTCAAGTATTTATAAGACTTCTCCAGAGAAGATTCTTTTCTATTTGGTCTCTGTATATAATGGATTGTAAGGAGAATTACAAATGTTTTCAAATCTCTGTTGCAGACTTCAGTGCTGCCAAAGATACTTATGAAAGAATATAATCTCTTCCTCTCTCCTTTGAAAAGTTGAAGAAATTCATTCTGAAGTGTTTTCTGACAGGGCCAAAAGAAGTGTTCATTCTTACTTCTTCAAGTTTTAACTTTTTACACAAGGATGCTTCCAAATGCAGGAGTTCTAAGCTGGAACAGCCTGATTTTTTTTCATACATTAATTTATTTTCGAACTGTGGAGAAAGTGGAGGGATTCTTCCCTGAAGTTTATTTAGAGAGTATGTGGAAAATGAATATTTTCCAAGAAAACTCCCAAATCTGCGTTATGTGTCTAGTATACTATCCCTTTAAGTCTGAATTCTAAATGAAGTTACACTGTTTGAAAATAGACATTAGCATAGTTTGTTAATCAAAATAAATGTGTGTGTGTATATATATATGTATACGTGTATATATACACACTGTATGTGTACATATATATATACATATACATACATACATACATACATACATATATATATCTAATACTATATATATAAAATGTAGTACAAATTTTGGGAAGATTCCCAGAGAAAGACTCTGATATTTCAGAAAATAAAGCACAAAAGGAACTGAGGGCTTCCTATCTTCTTACTTTCACCCTGAATGAGCTGTAGTAGTGTCATTCCCAATAATTTCCATCTAGTTTCCTGCTAAAATATCACCAGTGGTTTATTTTCTCTTGCAATCAGTTCGAATTCACACTGCTAGGAAGCACTTTTCCTAATGTTTTACATGAAACATTTTTGTTGGAGTTAGGAATAACACTTCTTGATTTCTTTCCAGAGATCAAGGAGAAACAATTTATGTCCCTTTTTTTCACATAACATTCATGCACATATCAAAGACTGCTACAACATCTTCCACCATCTAATCTACTTATTGAACATAGCTGCTTCTTTCTATCATCTTTACATAAGTCAACATTTCTAAGCCTCTAAATGTCTTTTGTGTTATTTGAATTCTATTTTGTCTATTTGTCTTGATGTTGTACTGCCCTAAGTTGTACATATAACAGCTTGAAGACTTAGAAGGAGGAGTAGTTAGAAAATGACATCTTGTATTTTATTCTTGCTACGCATGAGAAAATAGCTGCTCTTTGGTGACAAATTAAATTCTTTTTGCAAGCTGCTATAAACATACTGCTGCCTTTGTGTGGAGTTTCTCCATCTTCCCGTCTTGTTATTACAGTTGCTCTTTCTCAGATGAGTAAAGTTTGTGCTTTTCTTACTCCATTCACTTTGTTTCAGTAGAAAGATAATTGTAATTGTCTTTCTTTCTTTAAAAACAGGTGCAGGTCTCAACCAAAAAACTCACCGAAAAGTTCAGTATAATCATTAGATTAGCGAAGGTAATCTTTAACTCTATTAGTTGAAAAGTTGACGTTGACAAATATTTTATTATTGCTACTCTTAGGACTGTGCTCTGCACTGGTTTGCCCACATTCTGTTCATCCATTTTTACCATAAACTTGATACTCTTTCTTTGAAAACATTTTTCCAATATGGTGTACTGCAGTCTTATGATTCTTTTGCCCATACTTTCCTCAACTATTTGTGAACTTGCTATGATAAATTGTTTAGAAAGTCTTAATTTCTTAGACTTAATTTCTTGGACCAGTCTTGAACTTGTTTAAGTCCAAATGTGGCATTAACTTCTCTTTATTTCTCAAAGCCCGCCACTTCATAAAATCAAATTATTTTGATTTTGATTTATTCTTAGCAAACTCACCCTGGAATATTACCTCTTAATTATT